AGAGTATCAGCCAGCAGTCTCCAATCAAGAAAAGTGAGAATACGTAATCTAAAGCTATATGACAATGCAGATGTCCTATTAGTCAGTTCTTTTCTGGTTCAGACCACCGCAGGATAGTAACAGAAGCCACTGAGAAAGATTAGTTTTCCTGTCAGATAATATGTACCCTAAATATTAACTGAATCTGCAGCAGACAGCTAAGGAAAAGGAAGGAGCTCAAATTAGATATAGAGAAGAAAGGTTGATGGCATCATGTTGCTACTACACATGCTCTAGCACCAGTGCTCCAGAAGCTCTTGAGGAGGCTTGTAAGTCTGGCAACAGCCACCCATGCAAAGAAACAAAAACACAGAACAAAATATAAAGCAGATATGTAATGTCTACTGATCTGAACTATCTTAACTTTCAATAAGGGATACACCAGGTAGAGAATATCCCAACATGTTCTCCACCTAGCATGGCTCATGCAATTACCCAGTTTTTCTTCAATCACATGACTCGAGCAATGTGCTGCCATTTCTTTTTCTTCCTCCATAGTGTCTGAAAAACACAGATTTAGCTATGCAGTAGGTTTTAAAAAAACAACAATAAGGTCGCAGAATTTTATGATACTGCCAAATTAGCAAGGAGGTAAACATTCTCTTTGAAGGCTCTCACATGCTGTTTAGGGACCGCCACATAAACATGGTTTATGGGATGTCACACATCTCACCACCTTCTCTTGAAACGTGCCATCGAACTATCTGATTCTATGTGTATCTCAAGCATTGCAGTCTCTGTAAAAAAGCCTTCAAATACAAGAGTGATGTCTAGGACTTCGGAAATTCGTTAAAGGAAACTCTGTGTTCAGCAACATAAACTCCTTATACGAATACAGCTGCAACAGGCAGCACGGCTAGACAGTTGCAGCAGAACACTGCCACCCCACAGGCTAAAAAGACTTTTTATAGCATTAATTCGAGATTAACATAACGGATACTCAGCACATCTCTGCTTCGCAGTGGAAACGCGTGCTGTGCTCCAGACAGCGCCTTTCACTTCCAAATACTATCTTCCTGTGAGCAAAGGCAGACTCGTCCCTACCTTAACATAACCCGCCCAGGCCTTGCCGAGGGGTGAGCCAGGAGACCCTCAGGAAGAGTGCCTCATGCGGAGCGGCCAGACCGAAGGGATTAACCCCTAGCACGGACCTCCAGGACTGGTCCCTCACGGGGC